GCCTTCCATTTCCATGCGATTTACCAGTGTATACATCCCAAGCTTAGGATGTGCCCTCAAGCCAAGAACTCATCAATCTGATGACCTAAGGTCCAACTACTGAGTTTCCAAATATCCAGCCTTATTCTCCTGTGGCTGTAATACAGCGTAGTGCTTAGAAGCTTTAGGTGCATAATTCCTGGCCCACATCTTGCTTACTTTTGGCAAGTCTCTGAGCCTTGTATGTTTAACAACAGTACTTGTCTCAATGTTGTGAGGAAAAAATGAGAATCTGTGAAAGCTATGGGTCCACTGTTTGGCATCCAGTAAATCTTTGAGAACAGCAGTTGAAGATCTTCAAATTATAACTGATATTTATTCTTTTGCACTATTTGCCAGTCACTATGATGTTCTCTTTGCTTACTATTTAAAATTTTTATTTTACACATAGACGATTTTTAAATGCATATTTTTAAACTGGGGATTAAACCCAGGCACACTTCACTGCTGAGTTACATCCCCAGCCCTTTTATTTATTTAAACTTTGACATAGGTTTTGCTATATAGCTGAAGGTCTCATTTAATTGCTGARGCTGGCCTTGAACTTGCACTCCTTTTTCCTCAGCCCCTCAGGTTGCTGGGTTTATTTTTTATAAAGGTAAGAATGTGGGCTGGGGTTGTGGTCAGTGATACAATGCTTGTGTGAGGCATTGGGTTCAATCCTCAGCATCACATAAAAATAAAGGTATTGTATCCATTTACAACTAAATATTTTTTTTAAAAGGTTAAGAATATGAAGAGAACTCTGATCTCAAGACCCACAGGCCTTTTGTAGCTGTGATGACCACTCTATGAGTGCAAGGAGCAAGCCGGCAAGAGTCTGGCCAGGTTTGGAGTGCGACCATGTCCCTTCCGCCTGGGAGATGCTCAGGATCCTGTGTGTTTGCCCTGTGTCCATGTGTACTGCCTGCCTTGCATCAAGATCTGGCTCATCTCTAGGCAGATGACCTGCCCCTACTGTTTAACTGGCCTGCCAGAGGAGTTCTCTGTGACAGTTTCCCAAGAGCACAGGGTGGCCATTGGGAAACACACCCAATTCCAGCAGATGTGCAATAATTTCTTCATGGAACTGGTTTCTACTATGTTCTTAAAAAACAATACTTCTCCTCAGAAGAGTGTGATTGATAGGCTTCTGTCTCTACTTGTTGTGCAGGAGCTCATGAGAGATGCTCCCCAACAACACCGGAAACACATCAAGTCTCTTTCGCCATTTGATGATGACATGGATAAGACTCCTGTCATCTGCTCTTTGGTGCTGAAGCTGCTCCTGAAGTATAGGCTGTGATAAACATCATCAAGACTCCACTGAGTGACCCGAAAGGATTCCTGCAGCAGCACATCCAGAGAGACTTGGAGCAGTTAACAAAGATGCTGGGGAAGAGTGCTGATGAGACCACCTATGTGGTCCATCTCATGCTGTACTGCCTTCTCAAAAAGCAGCACCCACACCCTGACCAGACTAAGCAAGGGGCAAGGACTGGGCATGACTGCCAAGAGGCCAGGCTCCCCCAGCCCTTGGTGAATGGCATGATAGGAATAGGAGGAGTGCTCTTTTCTCCTTGCTGAGCTGGAGGGGCTGCTGTGCTCCTCCACACACTACCCACCTAGCTGTGGCCTGCAGCCCTGACATCGGTGACACTTCACACACAACATTAACCTGTTCCCTGGGAGCACTTGGCTTCCCAGCAGGTGATGTGGGTCCCACTTCTGCTTTCCCAGAGATGTCATACTTGTACCCGATGTAATATGTTCACATTCACAATTAAATCCAATTAAATCCCCCCCCCCCAAAAAAAAGTTTAAGAATATAAACTTTCTGCTGGGTGTAGTGGCACATGCCTGTAATCCCAGTGGCTCAGTAGGGTACAGCAGGAGGACTGCAAGTCCAAAGCCAGCCTCAGCAACTTAGGGAGACCTTGTCTCTTAAATAAAATATAAAAAGGGCTAGGGATGTGGCTCAGTGGTAGAGTGCCCCTGGGTTCAATCTTCAGTATCAAAAAAAAAAAAAAAAAAAAAAAAAGCTTTCTGAGGAGGACTTTGTCCGTTTTGTTTTCTAATCAAATTCCTACATTATCTGGGGCATGATAAGCACTCAGAAATATTTGATGAATTTTTTTTTAAAAGGAGTGTGCAATGCTCCTAGCAAGATTCTTTTTTTATAGATTTTTTTAGAGAAGAGAGAGAAGTTTAATATTTTATTTTTTTAGTTATTGGCAGACACAACATCTTCGTTTGCATGTGGTGCTGAGGATCGAACCCAGCGCGCCACCGCTTGAGCCACATCCCCAGCCCCTATTTGATGAATTTATGACCTAAGCAAAACACTACCTATCCTTGCCCCCAACTTCCACTCCCTTATTTATTTTTTTTT